GACGGTGCACACTCCGCACCTAATAATTTTTCCAAATGAGTGGTCCAGACAAACTGTGCGCCATCTTCCAACGTGAAGTAGTAGACATCCAACTAATCAGGGAACAATTCGAATTCAGATTTGCTACTATATATGTGTGATTACGTAAATTTGAAATTATACTCTTAGAATTTCAGAAATCTGCTCATAGAAATTAAAGGTATAAAAATTCTAAATAAAAGTTATCTATATTAAGCAAATTACAAAAAAGATTTAAATTTTTAATTGTTAAATCATCAGAACATTAAATTGATTAGGTTTAAATCTTAATTATAAGTTTTCAAATTTAAATTTGGGATAAGTCGAATTTTGATTTCAGCAAATTTATAGTTGAAACGAATGTTTCAACGTGATGATCCCAATCACACCAAAAGTATTCAGATCTGCAGCCAATTCTTCTCAAATCAAGCACTTGAAATCTTGTTAGAAATCTCATGACACTATTTGACGGAGCAATTGATTTCCAAACTTTGTGTGCTTAGATTAACAACAATCGTCTCGATTAGAGAAATCCATAGAACTGAAAATTACTCAATTTTGAGATTACTAGGCACTTAAATTCCTCATGAATGATCTATGATTAAAAGAATCAACATGGAATATCTGATAAAGTGATTGTTGATTTTAGCCAAAATGAAACTCCAAAGAAACTCTAAATAAATCTCCATTCTTCGAAAAGACTTGAAATAGGAGAGAGCTTAGAGATCTAAAGTGGTCTAGAACATTATTTGTCGATCGATCTTAACAATCATCATCAAAAACTACTGTTGTTCAACTACCATCGCTCGACCACCACTGCCCAATAATCATATCTCTACCACTATAACTTCTACATAATAACATCATTGCATGCAATTATGAATAAGTTCAATGCATGTTGTTGGCACTGATGTATATGCCAATCAACTTTATTATCCATCATTATTAATAAGGTTTCTTTTGGGATAACTATCTTACCACTTCTTAAAGCAGCTTTCTAGTACAAAATTTTAAATTTTTGTATTATAAAGATGCTTTAAGAAGCGGTAAGGAAGCCGTCCCAAACAAAACCTAAGACTGATGCCTCTATTAATACAATGCTAATGCCCGTCCACCAATTTTATCGCCCACCATTACGTACAACGAAGAAACACATCATCATCAATTAGATCGATATATTACTACCATTGACACCAATATTGATGCCTACGAAATTCATCATCACATATCACTAAGAATATCAAGACTCGTCATTTCCATAAAGTTGATGCATATCATTGAAATTAATGCTAGTGCTTGTTGACATCATCTCTAGCCATAACAACAGCATCGCACATACTATCACTAATAAGCCAATGTATGTCATTAACATCAATACTAATGCTTGCAATCACCAACAATATTGGCACACATCATCACTAATAAGGTTGATACACATCATCAATACTAATGCTAACGCACATGTTATTATCGCTCATCATCACATGTAACATTGACACATGTCATCTCTAACAATATTATAGATATTTATTAAAAAAAGGTAAGATAGTTCTAAAATTTTAATGAAATTTGCAATAATAAAACAACAACTTTAACAAACACAAAATATTAAGAAAGCCCTTACACTAATGGAATTGCACAATTAACAAGCAATCAATATATCAAATGTCAAATTCAAACAAACTGAATAGTAAACACAAAATATCCACAAAGAAGCAAAAATATAGATCAAAAAGTAAGTTTAAAATCTGTTAAAAATCTTATGTTCATAAATAATAGTAAGTTCATTTTATCTCTTCTCCCTTCATGTAAAAAGATTAAACTTTGATTGCTCTTGCTCGATCGTCTTCTTTGTCCTCTTCTTCCTCTCCTTAAACCATAGTTATCCCTGTCTTTCCATGTACAGGTAGGTGGTAATTGTGGAGGCGAAAGAGCTAGCTTAGAACCTGATAATGATGGGAATTCAGTGATTTTTGGCAAGTTAGCGGTTCATTACCACTTCTATTCTCAAATTAATCTAGATGGAGGATTCAATTTCTTGACTTTGTACTAAAAAATTGCTTTAAGAAGTAATAAGAAAGTTATTCCAAACGAAACCTTTATTTTTAAAAAAATAAACTTAATAACCTAAGCCATGTTCAATATGAGAAAACCATCAACCTTACTTCATCATTTATGTTTGGACCATGGCCAGAAAAAATAGAGTTTTGAAGTGCGTTTGCAAAAATAACATTTTGTTCTAAGAATTCGGCTTTCAGAATGCTCAAAATGTCTAGCTGATTAGAATTCTTTGGCCCTAAAAAAAAAAAGAAAAAGCAATATGCATCACTACCGGTGTTCAGCAAATTGTACAGCAAAACACAGTAAGCAAGCATTTAAGCTATAGTATACGTCCTCCATTACTGGACAACCTTGGCCTTTCCCTTGCTGTCAGTGCTTCCGCTTAACCCTGATACGACGGCGGCCTCTTCACGCCGTTCAACACTCTCCACCATCTCTGCTTCCCTCTTCTGCATCTCCTCCAGTTCCACCTCCCCATTGAGTACTTTCAATACCCACGCCATTGTAGGCCTCCTCTCTCTGTCCACAACGGTGCAAGCCAAGCCCACTTTCAACAGCTTCATCATCTCCTCCGGATTAAAACCACCACCCAGACGCTCATCTGCAGCCTCAAGCAACCGATCCTCTGACTCCATCTCACTCACCTCACTCACAAAACCTTCCGCAGTATCTTTTGGCATTCTTCCCCTGCAAATCTCAAGAACAAGGACTCCATAGCTGTAAACATCAGCCTTCACGTCCAAAGCCGAATTCGGCTTACACTCCGGCGCTGAGTACTGCTTGCTCGCTCCAACAGCTTTATATGGCGCCCCGTTTAGCGAGATTCCGAAATCTCCCAACTTCGGCTCGTACTCATCGTCTAACAGAATGTTGCTTCCTTTGATGTCACTGTGCACTATGTGAGGAGAGCATTCTTCATGGAGATGCTTCAGTGCAGTGGCTAGCTTGATTGCTATGGCATATCTCTGAGTCCAGGGAAGGAGTTGATTTTTTCGT